TATTAATCTCAAAAGTCAAAAAAACTATATGAAATTTATATTAATTTTATTTATGTTATAGTCAAAACTTATCAATAACCATTGCAAAAAATTAAAATTAGACAAAGGAGGGCTAGTAGGAGTATTTTGAAACCTCAATATTTAAAATAAAGGAAAAATTACCCAAAATAATCCCAACTTTACCCGGTCTTTCAAAAATAATCACATCTTTCACAGTGATGCATAATAATCCCAACTTTATTAAAATTTGCGAGTTTTGGGTCGCTGTTAAGTTTCTAACGGAGGATTAATGGAAATGCCTCTTTTAGGCAACAAAATAAAAGTTGGGATTATTTTTTATTAATTTTAGGTTTTTAATTTTTTTAAAAAAATTTTTATTTAAATTTTTGGAATTACTTTCAACCTCCATTTCTTTTTCTTTTTTAAAAATTATTCTTACCTTAGAAAAAATAAAAAAAATAGATATAAAAAACAATGAAAATGAGAAAAATAACTAAAAGCATACAAAATTAATGAAATAAATAATGTAATCAATAGAAATTAAAAAGAAACTGGTAAGAAATAAAATAAATATATACGGAGTGGTGGGTTTTAACATTTTACACACTATACGGAGTGTTAACGTACTACTTATTTTTTAAAATAACAAGCCGTCCGGTAAATTTAGAATTATTGTAGATAAGTTTCTCTAAAAAATAATTAAGAAGTGATACGTTAATATTTTGTATAGTGCGTAAAATATTAAAACCCACCCGTATATTTTTGTTTTATGTATTACCAATTTCAAGTTAGTTTATATTGATTACCTTATTTATTTTATTATTTTTGTATCATTTTAGTTACATTTCTCATTTTTTATTTTTTTATATCTATTATTTTTATGTTTTTTAAGCTAAGACTAATCTTTAAAAAAGGAAAAAGAAATGATGATGGAGGTAGAAAGTAATTTTAAAAATTTAAATGAAAAAATCAAAAAAAAAAAATAAAAAATGAAAATTCGTCCAAAATAATCCCAACTTTCATTTTGTTGCGTAAAACAGGTATTCCCGTTAACCCTCCGTTAGAAACTTAACGGCGACCCAAAACTCGCAAAATTCAGTGAAGTTTGGATTATTATGGATCACACTAAAATGTGAAATTATTTTTAAAAGACCGAGTAAAGTTGAGATTATTTTGGATAACTTTTTCTTAAATAAATCAAATTGTCAAAGTAGAGTTATAAATATGCGGACGAAGGTGAGGTGTGGTCCGTCAACGTGGGCCTGTGGAGCAAATTGACTTGTTGAGCCATCAGCGGATTGAATATGGTGTGGGCCATCTATATGGGCGGTCGGGTTTTCCGTCTGTCAACTGTGACCCGCCACGTGTTTTTGACCGCTTCTTGGTCTAAGAAGACGGAGAACACATCCGCACAAAATCCTCGTGCCAAACGTTCCCCCCCCCCATCCATCCATCCATCGCCGTTTACTAACATTTTCTAGTCTTCTTCATTTTCGTATTCTTGTTCACATTTGGTGTTTGAAATTTTTCTTCTAGCTTGAGTGGAAGAAAATTAAAATTTCACAATGTTTGTTAAAAAGTTTATCTAAATTCGATCTTCAGCACAGACGTTGGCTCTTTATGCGTCAATAAATTGAGAAATGTATGACTAGATATTATTCCCTCTGTCCACAAATAAACTTTACATTGCGCGTTACGATGTTTGACTGAAATTATTTTCAAATTATTTTATATGAAAAATGGTGTAGAATTGAAAAATAAAAATTACATATTAAAAAACTATATCAAAAGATCTACAAGACTAGAAGTGACATGACTATATTATTTTATCAAATGGATGACGAAAATAAGCCAACAAAGTGAATAAAGTTTTACCCTGTGAATAGTGAACGTAAAGTTTATTTGGGACGGAGGGAGTACATTGTAATAGAGTTAACAGCGTTCAAAAAAATTTAGATTTTTTTATAGAATTGGAACTGAAAACTTTCATACTAATGCTCATAACCATTCTTTGTATAGTGAGAATTTGGTGAGAAAGAGAAATGTGTGGGGGAAATGCGGTATTTATTTGCAATGTTTTATTTTCATGTTTGAATTGAAGAAAAAATACAATTAGAGGAGAAAAAAACTAAATATGAAAGGGAAAATGTTTTTACCCTACACAGATGAGAAAATGGAGCATTAGAACAGAAAAGTAATAGTTACTTGTTTAAAAGAAGTTACATGTTATTACATTATCAAACAAGGATATGATAGTTATTTTACATGATCTAGATTTTTTTTCCTAATTTTCTCTCTAATGCGAGTGTTACATGCACCGATTTTAATTAAGTGTCTGTGCGTAACTTTGTAAGCGTTTGTGTTAATTTAGTGCCAAATGCTTAGTGTTCCACAATTATTTTTGTTCTTGAAAAATTAATGTCTAGAAAAAGCATGAGAGTAATATTGTATAATTGATTAAAATCGGTGCTATAAAAAGAAATTCATATTTTATTTTGAAAAAATAAGTGATTCACATTATTTCTTTCTTTTGTACATAAATTTTCAAAGTACATTATTACGTAACCTTAAATCTCATAATAATTAATTAAATGAAATATAATAAATTTTTTAAATTACACAATTAACATTATCAATTATTTCTTTCATTTCTGTAAAAATGTAACAACATAAACATTCCATTGTATTCTATATATAATCTTTTACTTTATATTTTTACAAAACGTGCGAGGGCAAAAAAAACATTTTGTGAAAACAAACACAAACCATTTAATTTGTTGTTCCAATGTTTATTATATTTTTTTTATACCATCTTACTTATAGATATTGATATATATGGTCTTGAATTTATAAATACTAACAAAAAAAGTGATGTCAAAATTAAGATTCCCTACCTTAATTCGGAATTAAAAAATAATACTTGATTCATGATTTACCTACACTTTATAGTTCAGCTAGACAACACTTAAAAGGTGCACAATTGTTAATTGCTCTTTTGGAACATGAATATTCCTACCTTCTTAAATTTGAATTTGATCACATATTTTGGTACATATTTTTTATAATAATTGTCTATTAAATATTATTAAATATATACTCCGGGGTATTAAATTTTGAATGAATTTAAATACGTTTATTTGTGGAGTGTTAAAAAAACTTTAAATATATTTACATTAATTCAAAATCTAATACTCCCTCCGTTCTAAAACTTTCTTCCCAGAGCACTATTCCAATTTCACGGGAATTTATATTTATTTGTGTTTTTTCATGGCTTATATGATAAAATAAAATATTCTTGTCACCACTTGTTTTGTTGAACTTTTGATGTAGTTTTTAAATATGTATGTTTTATTTTTTTATTTCTATACCAATATTTAAATAAAATAGATTGAAAAAACTTGGGATTTTTCTTCATTTTGCACAACGGAAAGAAAATTTTAGGATGTAGGGAGTATATACTCGTATATAATGACCGTTATGGGAAGGAATAAGTACCATTTAAGATAATAAAAAAATGCTACTCTTAGAATTCGAAAGTTTGATTAATTTGGGAGCATAATATTTCTACTGTTTGCATGATTAGTAACACAAAATTAATACTAAGGGCACTGGGTATGGTCGTAACGCTCAGGGGCGTTTAACGCCCCACAGGCGTACACGGGCGTCATCGCCTGCCCGTCATTCGTTTGACGCGGCTCGGCCATTCGTCACCCCCCCAAATTAAAAAAAAATCAAAATTTAAAAAAAATCTATAAATTCCCCTAAAAAACATCATTTTCTCACACATCTCTCTTTATATTCTCTCTAAAATATTTATTATTTATTATAAATATTTATAAAATATATTTTAAAAATGGGTTCATTTTCCGATGATGAATGTAATTTTTTTTAATGATGAATGTAATTTTTTTAATGCACTAGTCTCATTGCGATTAATTTAAATAATAAATTAATTTAAATTTATTAATTTAAATTTAGAAGATGTATATTTTAAAATGTAAAAAATGAAGGTTTGAAGCCCTAGTTTGAAACCACGGAGCTTCAAAACCATTTCCAGTGAATTTTTAGTGTAAGTTAAAGCTGACGTGACAGAGAGAAAGAGTTTGAAGCCCCGATTTGAGCCCCGGGGCTTCATATGTATTTCCAGTGCTCTAATGGTAATTAGCAAACTTTAAATTTCAAAAGCACAAAAAGCACGGAGCATTTATTTATTTTAAACACAAAATTCAAAAGCATCTCCCTCAACAATTGAGAATTAATAATTTCAAAATTCAAAGCAATGTATTTGAAACCACTTCTCAATCTCTTAATTATTTAAATGTTGAGTAATTATAATTATTGCCATATACCGGAGTATTATCAATTTACTTCTATCCGTTAAAGAGTATCAAAACAAAATTACAAAATCAAAATTAAAACGTCAAGTAATAAAAATTACAAAATTAACTTGTGAGGTGCAAATGAGGGTGGTGAGGGAGTGTGTTCGGGTTGGGGCAGGGTGAGAGTTTACGTGCGGGTTAGGTGGGTAGAAACCGTTTATTTTACGAACGAGACACTGGAACGCCCTCAGGTCATCCCATGACATTGCCCGACAATGTCATGAGAACCATCCCCCATGCAGAATACAACATTTATCATAAATAAGAATATAAAATACTCTATATGTCCGGAAATTTATTGCATTTTTTTCTGACATCTCGATAACTTTTCATACTTGTTTGCTTTTGTTGATTATTTGATAAAATAGAATATTTATGTCATCTTTTGTTTCTTAAACTTTGATTACGTAAATTTTTAGTATGTAAATTTTATTAATTTTATACGGAGTACCAATTCTAAAATAAAAATAATTTTTGAAAATACAAGTGTTTTACTTCATAATGCAAAACTTGTAATAATCTAATTGGGGACTGAAAGAAAATACTACGTATAATTAAGGACTTATAGTTCACATGATCAAATTAAGGACTTACAGTTCACATGATCAAATTATGGTATATCCTACCGAGTATCTTTTAATTTTGAATATTTTTGTCTATAATGTAATTAAATAACATAATCATATCACCTTTGGTTTTAAAATTGTTTTTTAACTAATTTTGAATAATAAATTTTATTTTAAAGCTTTATATTTATTTTAAAATAAAATAAAATTAAATAATGTATTTTATTTAATACTCCCTATTAGGACTTAGGAGGTGGCTAGCGATCGGGCATAGACGTATAAGCAAAACTACTACGGGTACTACCTCTGACGGAAAAGTCGTAATGGGCCGACTGATTATAGAGGCCCAAACAGCCCAATAGCCCTTGCTTGTACGGCAAGGAAGTCTTCCTCTTGAGCTCCTCCGACACCGTCGTCCGCCGCATCGTGTAATGCCGCAGCTCGTGACTCTCCGCCGCCGCCGGCCTCCTCCTCCGTCTCCTCGAGATCGACGACCCTGAAGATCCGTCCTCTTCCTCCGCCGCCGCGGCCGTGTATTTCTTCATCGCCTGCGTGGCGCTACTCGCCCGTCCTTCCGACGCGCTTCTGAACAGAAACAGATCTTTCAGTTTCCATTTCCCCGAGAAAACCGTTGAGAGAAAGGAGGGGGGCGGAGAAACAGGGGAATTTATATTCTCCCCGGCGGTGCTCTGTTTCTGGTGGTCGAATAGCAAATCCGACACCCGGAACGGAGACAGAGATCTCGTCGATTTGTGACGAGGATTAACCGAAGGACGAGGCTCCCTTCCTCTTCGTCGCCGGCTCTCTTCCCCGAGCCCCGATTCCGCCGCCGGAGATTCTCTGTTGTGGTGCGGCTGAGATTGAGGCTTCAGAGGTTTAATCTTGCCGGAGTCGAAGAGCTCGTCGGCGGCCGAAAAATAAGTCTTCCCAAGCGGCCCGCTAAATTCAAAATCAAAATCATCACAGATGATATCTTCTTCTTCCTCCGGAGATGCGCCGGCGGTAGCAAAACGCCGAGGACTGGAAGGAGCACTGATGTAAGGGGTGTTGCATGCACTGTCGAAGTTGAAGTCCGCCGGCGGCGGCGGCGGGAGCGTTCCCATCTCTTATCTGCGTTTTTATATTCTCCGTAAATTAATTAAAATAAGGTCTCTCTGCCGGAGCCAATCACATTATATATACACAGAGAAAGAGAGGTAGCATGTTACATCTACTCTCCTTGGGTTTATGTGCGTAAAAAATATATTCTCCCACACTTTCAAATAAAAAATAATTTTTAAAAATTGTATTATAATGGCACAACAATGTGAAGTTTGAACTCATGTCTTAATTATCAAGTCTCTCATTTCATGTTATAGAACTAATTCTGAGTATTAGTGTAAAACTAAAAAGTACTACGTATTATCCAGCATTTAACTTACATAGTTACGTGCTATCATAGTCTTTGAGTGTTAAGTCACAAAATGTCATATTTTATTCCCTCATTTCTTAATGCTTTTAAAATATTTAATATGCATTTTATACGTAAATAATCACATTTTGTTCTATTTAGCATTTTAGGCTATTGTTTACATTTTATACATAAAATGCATAATTTTGAGCATATTTATATTATACAGATATTTTGGAAGTATTATTTATTACCTTGATACAAATTTTTAGATATGGAGTACAAAAGGATGAAGAAATATCAAAGGTAGATGCATATTTAAAAAGAGTTATTGGGCCAAGTCAATTAAGCAAAGGAAAACAAAAGGGAAAAAAAGAAAAGAAAATCAAGCTGAGTTAATTCCAAGCGCACGAAACGGAAAAACACGGAGAGCAGCGAAAGAAATGCATCGCACAAGAGAGTCTTCTTCTCCAATCCAAACACTGCAATTTTCAAATATAAAAGGTAAACCAAAGCCACAAGGAAGGAGGAGATACCGGGCGGATACGGAGACAAAAACAGAGAGCAGAGCAGAGCCCGACCTAGGGTTCCGACCCTAGGTCGGCGATGACAATTCCGGCAGTCCGACGGCAACTATTCCGGCAGCAGCCATGGATTCCGACGACGGCGATGACTGGCGGCTCAAGGTCGGCATCTTGTCCCGGCTTCTGTGCATCGTGCAAGGAAGACATTTCCAGGGAGCATTCCTTCTACTTTTCAATTTTATTTGCTATGAATTAGGATTTTGAATTTGTTTAATTTCCAATTGATGAATTTGATATCCATTATTTAAATATGATTATTTTCAAAGCTTGTTTTTGTGTTGAATGTTTAAGGTATATTATAAGTGTTGAATTGTTTGTTGTTGAATTGTTCAAATATGATTTATTGATTTATTATTGTCTCTACAATTATAAAACTTTCTTAGGCCAAATTATTTGATAAAAAAGATTGAATCTTTGTTTGTTGAATCAATTTGACTTTGAAGGAATTTTAGCTCTAAGCTACTGTTAAATCTAAACTCAAAATGGTGTTCTAAGAACTATTATTCACTAGATTTTACTTAAATTGGACAAAATTAGGATCGCGACTTAATCCAGTTTAAAATGATATTCTTTTAAAGTCCAAAGTGTTTTTAATAGCCGAACTTTTCTAGAAACCAAGTGTCACTTGATTAGTACTTGCTGCCTCGTTAAGTGGTTTTTGCTAATCAAGGTTCTCGAACTGATTTTGTTAAATAACCGTAGTGTTACTGCAAAGTTGTTATGGTGATGTTTTCCACAAATCTTAATGCGCTATTCTTAGTAGTAACTTAAGGGTTGGTCTTTGGGTTGCTAAGGGTAGTAGGGTTTAGAGTTAGGGTTGGTCTTAACATAAGCTAATATGAATGAGAGAATAGGGAAGAACCGTTGGTGGACCTCTTCTTCAGCCTAACCCTGAGTTTAATTAGCAGTTTAATTTCAAAATTAAGGCATAATTAATTAGTTAATCATATTTGTTCACTTTATTTTCTATTAAAAACTATAAGTATTTTCAAAATGGTTTAAGTTAATTATTATTGTCTACATTTTATAAAGTTTATTGTGTGATTGTTTGTGTGTTTGTTTCTCCCTGAGTGTTTTTCTGAGTTCGAGTTGCTGATGTAGTTCCATCTCTTATCTGTTATCTTAATCTTCATTTAATTTGCATTTTTATAATTTAATTTTATCTTTCAAACCCCCCCCCCCCCATATCCTTTAGTTTTAATTTTTAGATTTTAGTCAGTTTTTATTCAATAAAAGTGACAAGTGAACTCATTTTCATAATCTAAAAGTATCTTTTCTCGTGGGATCGACCCTTACTTGCCCTATCTATATGTTTTAATTAATATTAATTCATAAAGGGGGATTTAAGTTAAGGAAAATAATAAATTAATTTGTAGGTGCTACGACACGCCTAACATTGAGTATTGGTTTAGTTGACTTTTTATAGTAAAAATAGATAAATTTTGACAAATAATTAAACGAAATCAATGATATTCACAGTGTTTGTGAATACCATCACGTGTCCGACAAATTTGAATAATGCATTGTTTCCAGATAAATAAGAGTCGACACGAAAAGATGTGAAGCGTGAGTGTTTAGAGTCCTCCAATCACAATGGCACGATAGTGAAAGGCTCTGCACGCTTGTGGTGTCAATCACTCCGATCAGACATTACATTTACATGTATTATCCTGCATGAATTACCTGGTAATAGAAAACGAGGAAGAGTTCTGCATTTGTTTTGCAGATGACGGAGGCACAGCCACTTATAGGGCGACTTCCGTTGTTCGGGGTCTAGCGAATCAAGGTTAACCATTAAATTTATGATGTGCTACTATGTGCATGAAGAAACCTAGAGACACAACAATAGTAATCAACTCATGTATCGAAATATAATTTTGAATTTTTATTATAGTTATATGTATTTTATTTTTTATTTTAATAAAGATTGTTGTTGTTTGTTAAACAGCATCCCACATCGAAAAAGTGTGAGAAAATTAATTGGTATATAAGCTATGGAGTTCAACTAACTAATCGATTAGATTCAATCTTTTAATGTGGTTCAGTCCAAGTGTCTTAGAGCATAATCTAGTTGTTCATACCCATCCTAAATTCTATTATGGTATCGGAGCAGGTTTTGGCCCACCTCGTTTGTCAAGGTGTCTGTCTAGACGTTTGATGGGTGTATTTCACCCAAGACCGGTCAAAGGAGAAGGTCAAATCTTTGACCGGTCAATCTCGAAAGTTTTGGAAGGGAGACTTAAATCGTCAGCAAAACGATATATCATCGGCCAAAATTTGACCGGTACACTTCACAAAAAAGTATACCGGTCAAACTACGTTATCATCCCATTTATTCCAGACTTCGATGAATTCACCTCTCGGAGATTACCCGGTGTAGTTTCTGGGGTTGGAAAGTGTCGGCAGAAGAGAATCTACGAGGGCTTGGCGTGTAGCGAGCACAGTCATCTTCTGTTGACCTCTACGACTTCTTAGGTAGGTTCCGCGATGAGCTGTTTCCCTTACTAGGGGGAGTGTTCCGCTGTTCCGTCGAGCTCCTGCTTTGGTCAGTGGAGCGTGGTGTAGTCGTCGTACGGGGGTGCACCCGCGTGCACCAGGATAGGGGAATCGGATCATATTTATGAGTACATTTGGAGTGAAAGAGGGATCCGAATTCATTCTCTCTAAACTCCCTTGTAAAAGCACCCGTGCATTCTCCGTTATAATATAAATTGGGCTACAGGTGTTCCACCTAAAGTCCTACCGGTCAATCTACGAGTTTTCGCCTTTCTTACTTTGCCAAATCAAGTAAACTATTCTAGACCCGGTCTAGTATAGTTTGACCGGTCAAGTAATTTACACCATCATTTTTGGCGCCACCCGTGGGACCGTTAAGGTTTCTTCACTTCTAAAACCTACCCACAAGAAAACCACTCGAAATGTCTTCCAGCCAACAAATCAACGCTACTGTCGCACAGGTGCAAGCCACCAATGAGGGCGCCAGCATCCCAGTGGCTGCTACCATACCGGTCATTTCAGCCCCGGTGTTGCCTCTGGGTCTCAGCTCTGTCCCGACGGCCAGCGTGATCAGTCCCTTCGCGACCCCCGTCCCTTCCGCTGGACCGAGGGTCACGTTCCCACCAAGCATGGCTCAGTTCATGAACGACCCAGCCAACCTACAAGCCATCCAGGGCTTTGGCCAGGTTATGGCCATGTGCCAGCAGAGCGGGGGGATGCCTTTCCTCCCTGGTATGTTCCCTTTCGCCCTTCCAGGCACGGGGACCATGCCCCTACAAGCTCTGATGGCGGTGACGTCGTTCCAGACGCCGATGCCATCACCTTTCCAGCCCCAGCTGGTCAGCACCATGGCCCCTGTCAACTTGACCGGCGCACTTAACGCCGCAGGGCCGTCGCGTCCCCCGCAAACTACGAATCCGCAGACCACTCCTGATGGTCATTGCGTCTCGATTGAGAGCGATGACGGCGAGTGGGACATCCCGAGGGCCCACAAGAAGAAGAAAGGAAAAAACATCCGGCCAGCGACTTCCCGAAACTCCGCCTTCGAAAGGCTGGGGGATAGGGAGGAAGGCCAGAGGAAGTCAGCCAAGCAAAGGCTGGGGCAGAGCGTTGCCCATTTCAGCGCGTTCGCCCGGCTAGGCGAGGTGCGGGAGGCCGAGCCTGCCCGCACCCGGCGCTCTTGGTCTAACCGGCAGGAGCCAGCGAGGACGAGGGCCTCCCACCAGGAAGGGGAGGCAGAGAGCCAGCCCAGGTTACCGGTGGCGAACCGGTTAACCATCCCAAACGACCGCGTCCAGCAGATGGAGGCAAAGCTGGAAAGGCTGGAAAAGAAGGTCGGAGAGAAGAATGACCGGGATAAACCCCTGGCAGGGTCCCCGTTCACCGCAAGGGTCCATCTGAAACCTTTCCCGCGAAAAGTCAAGATCGACGCCCCCAAATTCACCGGGAAGGAAGATCCGGAAATCCATCTGGACTCCTTCAACCAGAGTGCGACCATGAACGGTTGCACCGATGAAGAAAAGTGCCTTCTTTTCTTCCAGACATTGCGGAACCGAGCCACTGAATGGTTCAATAAGCTTCGCCCGGGAAGCATTGATTCATTCAGTGATTTGGCCTCAAAATTCAAGGCCAACTTCCAGGAGAATTGTACTAAGAGGAAGAAATTCACCTATCTTAGTACAGCCGGGCAAAGGGAGTCTGAGAACCTTACTCAGTTCCTTACCCGGTGGAAGGAAGAGGTGGACAAGGTGGAAGAAATGGATGACAAGACCGTTCTCTCCATCCTCTTGAATGGCTTGCGTGCTGGGGAACTATACAAGGAGTTCTGCCGGAAACCCCAGCCACGTACCAAGAGGCCTACCATAATGCGTGGGAGTTTGCTGAGGCTGAAACCCAACTCCGGGCAAAGAGAGAAGCTGAGCATGGTCATAAGTCCAAGCCGGTGCAAGTCAAGAAGGAAGAAGCACCGGGACCTAGCCGGCCGAGGCACCACTATGACCCGGTCATCCGAGTGGTCAATACGGAGGAATGCCAAGAAGTCCGGAAAGCACCGGTCATTCCTCCAGAGAACCCTACCGGTCAAGTAGGGCGGCAGTGGTCGGGCACCTATTGTTTGTACCACAGGTCAGATTCCCATAACACCTCCGAATGTAAAAGTGTTAAGGGGGTCATCCGGCAGATGATCGATAGCGGAGAGCTGGGCAAAGATTACTTGCAAAAAGCCCAGGAGAAGAGTCATCAATGGGTTAGGCCAACTGCCCCAGGGAATGACCGGGACAATAACCGGCGGAGGAATAACCGGCCAAGGGAGCGGCAACCTGCCCCCGAAAAAGAACACATCGGCATGATCTTCGGCAGACCCGAGGGCAGAGATTCAGCCGCGCAGCGGAAGAACTGGGTCCGGAGCATTTACGTGGGAGAAGTAAGTGCTGAACCACCCAGGCGTAAACATACTAGGAGGGAGCCGATCGTCTTTACTGACCGGGATCTCCCTCCTACCGGTGAAGATCACAATGATCCATTGGTCATCACCATGGACATTAATGGGGTGGATGTTGCCCGGATACTTGTTGACACAGGCAGCAGTGTCAACATCTTATACCTGGAGACCTTCCAAAAACTCAGGTTGTGTCGAACACAACTTGAACCCCTCAAAACTCCTCTCTCAGACTTCACGGGGGACACCGTTGAAGCTGAAGGATCCATAGTCCTACCGGTCGAACTAGGATCAGGTGAAAAGACTGTGTGGAAGAAGATGCGGTTCATAGTTGTGGACATCAAATGCGTCCACAACGCAATTCTAGGAAGGCCAGGCATCAATAAAGTCGGGGCGGTGATTTCCATGCCTCATCTATGCATAAAGTTCCACACTCCAGGTGGTGTGGGTGAGGTGAAGGGCGGCCAGAGGAACGCCCGGGAGTGCTATGCCCGGGCAGTCAAGAAAATGACCAGCGGGGTCAATGTCATCTCCCAAGAGATCACAAAGGGAGAGACCCGGGAGAAACTGGAGCCCGAGGCTGAGACGGTGGAAATCGAACTTCACCTGGGTGATTCTTCGAGGATGGTCAGAATTGGAGCAAATCTCCCCGAGGATCTCAAGGAGCAGATTACACGGGTCCTCCAAGAATACGCGGGCATATTCGCGTGGAGCGTGGCGGATATTCCCGGGATAGATCGCTCTGTTATCTGCCACCGGTTGGCCGTGAGGGAGGGAAGTCGACCGGTATGCCAAAAGAAGCGGTACCTGGCCAGTGACCGGCGAGACTTCGTCAAGAAGGAAGTGAAAGACCTCCTCAGTGTTGGTCACATCCGGGAAGTCAAGTACCCGGATTGGCTGGCCAACGTTGTCCTTGCTCCAAAGGGCGACACGTGGAGAGTGTGTGTGGATTATACGGACTTGAACAAGGCTTGTCCGATGGATTCATACCCCCTCCCCAGTCCGGATCAAATGGTGGACGAAACTGCGGGGTGCGAACTCTTAAGTTTCATGGATGCCTTCAAGGGTTAACACCAAATCTACATGGCCAAGGAATATGAAGAGAAGACGTCATTCCTCACACCCGAAGGAACCTACTGCTACCGGGTAATGGCGTTTGGCTTGAAGAACTCGGGGGCAACCTACCAGCACATGGTGAACAAGCTCTTCAAGCCACTACTAGGAAAGACCATGGAGGCATACGTCGACGACATGCTGATCAAAAGCCAGGTATCTCTGAACCACCCGGCTGATATGCGAGCCACGTTCGATATCATGGCAAAGTACAACCTCCGGCTGAATCCTAAGAAATATGTCTTCGCGGTTAGTACCGGGAAGTTCTTGGGATTCATAGTGACCAAGAGAGGAATAGAGCCCAACCCAGAAAAAATCCGGGCTATCACTGAAATGCAAGCCCCTGCCTCCGTTAGGGATGTTCAAAAGTTGACCGGTCGTTTAGCGGCCCTCAACCGGTTCCTTTCCCGGTCAGCTGAGAGATCCCTGCCCTTCTTCAAAGTTCTGAAGAAGGCCAACGCATTTGCATGGGACGAAGAATGCAGAGGGCATTCGAGGAGCTGAAAGAGTACCTAGCGTCGGATATTGTATTGTCTAAACCCGAGCCGGGTGAAACTCTGTATCTGTACCTGGGAATTTCCCCAAATGCTGTAAGCTCCGTTTTAATAAGAGATGATGGGGCGCAAAAGCCCGCTTATTATGTGAGCAAAGCACTAAACGGGGCAGAGAGTAGATATACGACGATGGAAAAGACAGCCTATGCGCTTTTCATCTCCGCAAAAAAGTTAACATCCTACTTCCAAGCTCACCCGGTAGAAGTCTTAACTGACCAACCGCTGGGTGCAGTGTTGCGAAATTCAACATCCTCCAGGAGGATGGTGAAGTGGGCAATGATGTTAACTCAATTCAACATTGAGTACCGGCCGAGGTCGGCAATTAAGGGACAGGCCCTTGCTGACTTCCTAGTAGAAATGACCGGTCTAACTCCAAACTTACCGGTCAACAAGCCCACTGAGGAATGGTGGGAGATGGCAGTTGATGGGACATCCGGTCCTAGAGGATACAGGGGTGGTATCGTGTTCACCACCCCAGAAGGGTTCAAGATCTACCATGCAATCGTCTTCAACTTCAAGCTGACGAACAATGAGGCAGAATATGAAGCTCTGGCTGGAGGGCTCAGACTTGCCCAAGCCCTGAAAATCAGCCGGGTCAGTATCAAATCTGACTCTAGCCTGATAGTAGGGCAGGTGACCGGTAACATGGAAGCAAGGGAAGGACGCATGGCACAATACAAGGACCTTGTACTTGCCCTGTTGAAAGGCTTCGAAGAATTCAAGATCGCCCAAATTCCCCGGGCNTTCAAGATCTACCATGCAATCGTCTTCAACTTCAAGCTGACGAACAATGAGGCAGAATATGAAGCTCTGGCTGGAGGGCTCAGACTTGCCCAAGCCCTGAAAATCAGCCGGGTCAGTATCAAATCTGACTCTAGCCTGATAGTAGGGCAGGTGACCGGTAACATGGAAGCAAGGGAAGGACGCATGGCACAATACAAGGACCTTATACTTGCCCTGTTGAAAGGCTTCGAAGAATTCAAGATCGCCCAAATTCCCCGGGCGGAGAACGCGGATGCAGACCTTCTCTCCAAATTGACGCAGTATGCTCCCGAGCATGTTTCGAAACTTGCCCGGGTAGAGATCCTTGACCGTGCAAGCATCGAGAAATTGGAAGTCGCCGCTATAACGACCGGAAGCCAGTTTGACCGGTCAAACTTGGTCAGGGCGGACGACCATTGGATGTATGATCTGATGGAATATTTGATGGATGGGAGCTTGCCAGAACAAGATGACCGGGCAAGAAAAGTAAAGCTAAGGGCGCCCCGATTCCAAATTCTTGATGGAAAGCTGTATAAAAGGGCGTTTGGGGGGCCACTCCTGAGATGCCTGACCAACCGGAAGGCTGAACGAGTCATAGCGGAAGTCCACGAAGGCGTATGCGCGGCGCATCAAATGTCCCGTACGCTTTCCCAGCGCATTATCTTGTTGGGGTATTACTGGCCAACAATTGTCCAAGATTGTGAGAGGTATGTACAGAAATGTAGAACATGTCAAGTGTTCTACAAGTACCCCGGTAGACCAGCAACCTACTATCACCCTGTATCGAATGTCATCCCATTCGCTAGGTTCGGGGTTGATATCATTGGAGCATTCCCAGTCGCCCAAGGAGGGAAGAAGTTCGTGATCGTAGCCATTGATTACTTCACCAAATGGATCGAGGCCGAAGCGTTGGCCAACATTACCACGCAACAATGCAAGAAATTCATTTGGAAGAACATCATCACGAGGTTTGGAGCGCCCATGAACCTCATCACCGACAACGGCCCACAGTTCCGAAATCCAAGATTCACTGAATACTTGGAGGGCTTCGAGATCAAGCACAATCGCTCTTCGATGGCGTACCCACAAGGAAATGGCCAAGTCGAAAACGCCAACAGAACTATTGTAGATGGTTTGAAGAAGCGAAAGTAAAGTAGATGGTTTAAAGAATTTATGAAGCTTTCCAAAATGTGAAAGTAAAGTTCGGCCGGTCAAGCTTTTTAAGTTGGCCAAAATCATGAAGACGTTCGAAAAGCAAAAATGGGGGTCTGACCGGTCAAAGTTACTTGAGCTAATCCTTCAGATGAAGTAATCAAAGAGAACTTTGAAGTTCCACCGGTCGAAAACAATTGAGAAGTGGCCTAACCTATGTCCCGGTCGAAGTTACTCGGGCTAGTCCTTCAGATGAAGTGATCAAAGAGAACTTTGAAGTTCCACCGGTCGAAAACAATTGAGAGGTGGCCTGATTTATGTACCAGTCGAAGTTACTCGGGCTAGTCCTTCAGATGAAGTGATCAAAGAGAACTTTGAAGTTCCACCGGTCGAAAACAATTGAGAGGTGGCCTGATTTATGTACCGGTTAGAATTTCTATGATGGAATTTTAAGAAGCAAGAGCAAAGTATAGGTCAACAAGCAAGCAGATATGGAAGATTAACCGGTATGAAAATTAAACATGGCATTCAAATGAAATAAAATTGTTAAGTGTTTACAGCTACACCGGGCATCCCCGGGGAAATTTCAAGTTGAGAAGTTTTACAAACACAACCGGTCTAGGCCGAGGAGATCCTAATCTAAGGGGAAAGGGGGAGTAGGCTCTTCCTCTGGGATAGGAGCCAGGCCGTAGGAAGCCGCAGTGAAGGCCGGGTCTCTCTTCAGGAGGATCCGGTGGAAAGCTGCCCGGTCTTTCTTTTGACCGCACTTAAATCCGAAAGATCCGACGGCGGTAATAATCTTCCTTCCTTCAGGCTCCCGGTATAGAAGCCTGAAGGATTCCATGGTAGCTTCTGGACTCGCCGTCAGAACCCGGGCAGCTTCGGCCTTATTTTCCTCAACCCAGGCGGCTGCGCGCCCGGGGAAGTTTTCTTCCTTCTCCGCCATCTCTCTATTTGCCTCAGAGACCTCGTCCAGCAGCCGGCCGTTCTCCTCCTTCAGTTGGGAGATCTCAGTCTTTATTGCCCCGGCCAGCCCAGACAGCCGGATCAGCTCATCAGCCTGGCTCCTCAGGATGAGTGCCATCTCTTCCTTCTCCTTCTTCAGCCGGTCGACTTCAGAAGGGGAACTCATCCCCAACCGGTCCACTGTTTGCGGCCCGATCTCCCCCGCCTGCACAAAAACGAAATAGACCGGTAAATCTCTCGATTAAAAAAAAACAAATAAAGACCGGGATGGCATCAAGACTTACCTCCTTCAGCCTCAGCCCGAGATTGATGAAGGCCTCCTCGATGGTCTGACCGGCCGGCTCAGGATCTGACCTTGCCCTTTTCTTGGCGTAGGAAGGGTGCGTGGTGGCCACCTTCTTCACCCGGCGACCGGCCTTCTCCTTCTCCTTCCCCTTAGACCGGTTGTCTTGGGGCTCATCTTCGTCCAGGATTTCCACGGTCTCTGGGTTGACCAGGAAAGTCCTGGCAGGATTGGCTTGGGAGCCCCCGGTCTCCCCCGCTGGTTGGTCCTCGGGGATAGCGAACTCTTCAAACTCCATATCTGCAAGACCAACTAAAAACATTAAGTACAAATAGTTTGCCCGGTCAAACTACGAAACACAAGAAAAGTGAAAAATACCTGGGTGGTTCTGGCCCTCAGCCTATGCAGTGTTGCCCGGGGAGGGTACCCCGCGCCCCGCTGCTTCCTGGGCCTGGGAGGTACCCTCACCACCCGACTCTACACTCCAAACCCAGCTGCCTTGGTGGAAAATCCTCCCGGTTTGAGGATCCCCGCGCATGAGGATCTCGAGATTAGCTTCCAAGTCTGGGGAGGAGGCCGGTGCAGCGTACTCTTGGTCGAGCAGATGGTCGTTCCATTTCAGATCGGCCAGGGGAGTGAAGAAGGGGGGAAATTCGATAAAAACAAATTTTTCCTTCCATCCCCGGTTACTCTAGGGGACTTCGGAAATGAACTTCCTACCAGTGCGGGCTTTGAAGAATACAAAGCCTTCGCAGCCAGCCCCGCCCGGTAGGACTTCGAAGCAAAAAAAGAAAAGACGTAAAGAAGGGAAGATTTTCAGATGGGTACAAATATTTACGAAGGAATGAAGGTACCGGTGGGCGTTAGGAGTTATTTGACCGGGCAAAATCCTAAACGCATGGCAAACCCCAGTAAGGAGGGGGCGAAGGGGAAAAACTATGCCCGCATCTAGGGAAATAGTATGGAACCCTATCCTATCCTCCCGGTGGGGTTCGACAATGTTGGGCCAGTTGGGCTCATACAGGAGGGTGTACCCATCCGGGAGCCTTCTACGAATTTTGTTCAAGGCGATTTTGGATACACGGGAAGGGATGTCAAGGACGTAGAAGGTGGGGAGTGGAAAGTAACCGGCAGCATGAAGCCGCTCCTCCCACACATCCCGGGTTTCGTGTTCAGGATCATAGGGACCCGGTTCGTCATCGACCGGGTCATCCCTCCCCACGAAAGTTTCACCGGGCACCTGATTTACAGGATGCGGGTCGGGAATGGAGGAGTTGGGAACCTGACCGGGCGAAGAGTCAAGAGAAGAAGACCCGGTCGAGGAAGAGGAGTTGGAGTCCTCAGAGGAGCAGTCCTCTGAGGAGGAGATCCTATCACTATGAGAAGATATGACCGGGAAGGTAGAGAAGGAAGGGGAGACTTACTTAGCTCGGAGGGCTGGATAGCGAAAGAGAAGGACCTTGACCGGTGAAAGCTCTGAGACTTGATCGCGGAAAATGAACAAAGGAGAGGGGTGGAGGCCTTTATATAGGCGAGGAAGAATTGAGCGAGGGCGACGTGGCTTCCTCTGGGCACGCCGCGTCAGGCGGCGCCATCATGACACCTGGGGAAGGCGGGCGGACATAGAAGAGGCGCGTCCAGCGCGCGACACGTGTCCAACAGATACTTTTCAAATTCAAAATTTGAAATATTCTAGCGGGAAACGGACAGAAATTCATAATTTGAACCCATTTTCGGGATTTTTTACTTCCCGCTCATGACAAATTGCATGACCGAGAAGTGGAGGGCTTATTGATGGGTGTATTTCACCCAAGACCGGTCAAAGGAGAAGGCCAAATCTTTGACCGGTCAATCTCGAAAGTTTTGGAAGGGAGACTTAAATCGTCAGCAAAACGATATATCATCGGCCAAAATTTGACCGGTACACTTCACAAAAAAGTATACCGGTCAAACTACGTTATCATCCCATTTATTCCAGACTTCGATGAATTCACCTCTCGGAGATTACCCGGTGTAGTTTCTGGGGTTGGAAAGTGTCGGCAGAAGAGAATCTACGAGGGCTTGGCGTGTAGCGACCCGTGTCAGTAGAAGACAACTGGAGATGCTGAAGAATCCATCCAAGGCGCTACTCGACAAAGGGAATGATCCCCCTCACAAGGCGACAAGGCAGCTCGAGGACGAAACCAGTCACCTGCGTGGTGTAGTCGTCGTACGGGGGTGCACCCGCGTGCACCAGGAGTCCCCTTAGCCTAGTATAAATACTCATGTAAACCTCAGAAAGAGGGATCCGAATTCATTCTCTCTAAACTCCCTTGTAAAAGCACCCGTGCATTCTCCGTTATAATATAAATTGGGCTACAGGTGTTCCACCTAAAGTCCTACCGGTCAATCTACGAGTTTTCGCCTTTCTTACTTTGCCAAATCAAGTAAATTATTCTAGACCCGGTCTAGTATAGTTTGACCGGTCAAGTAATTTACACCATCAACGTTCATTCCTAGCGGCCCGTTTGTCTTTATCCCAGTGTTCCGTATGGAGTATGGACCTAACGGCCTGTGGCCCGTTTAACACGATTGACCGTCTGGAAGTCCACACCTAGCGGCTCGTGATCCTTTAGGTGTTGTCGTTCAAAAAAAGTCAAGGAAATGAGAGTTCATTTGCAAGTGGTCAACCGGTTAGATTCAAAATGGCCCGGTTGTCCACTTGAGGGGGTGTTAAAGAGCATCCCACATCGAAAAATTGTGAGAAAATTAATCGGTATGTAAGCTCTTGAGTTGAACTAACTAATTGATTGGATTTAATCTTTTAATGTGGTTCAACCCCAGTGTTTTATAGCTCGATCCAGATATCCATACATATCCTAAATTCTATCATTGTTAGTATATTTATTTTGATTATTTTTATTTTATTTTTTTATTAAAACTTAATGAAAATGATGAATAATGTAAAATAGATGGAGAGGTGGGGGTGAGAGGGCTGTAACATGGAGGTGTTTTGCATTGGTTCAAAAAAAAGTATAATAACCTGGTAAAAAATGACCTAAATTGTTTTTTATTTGAAGCCCGACTGGAAAATATCGAGTTATGGACAAAAGTTTTGTCGAACAATCCGAAATGACCCGCTAAAGATGGTTCAAATCTAACCTAAACTGAATATAATCCGCTAATGTAAGAATATTTCAAAATCACATGTACTCCTTTTCTTACTGGTCATTTTTAATGTATAGATTCATATTTTTATACAAAATTGTAATGATAATGCATTACTATTTTACTTTTCAAAAAAAATCTTCATATCTGGTTTTTTATTCATAATATTTACACTAAGACATACTAACAATTTCTAAAAATTTCAAAAAATAAACCAAAATCATAACTCGTTATATCGATCCAAATCTAATGACATGGAGCATTGAACATCTAAATTTTAATCAAAACCCAAAATTATCCAAATATGAAACGCCTTCCGTCCTAAAACGTCTTCCCAATTATTCTTTACATTGTCAAATTTCAATGACTTTCTTTATCTATTTTTGTTAGTTATCTAATAAAATAACATAGTCTTGTCACCTCTTGTTCTGTAAAACTTTTGATATATCTTTTAAATATATAAGTTTTACTTTAAATTTTACACCTGTAATCAAATAAACTAAATTTAAAACAAAGTCCATCAAAAACTTCTTAAACACAAATGGAAAAAATTATTTAGAAGAGAGGAGTATATAATTCAAACCCAAAATAATCAAACATGACTTGGACCAAAACCAAAAAATTGGACAAGAGTCAAACTTTTGCACCATCGTTGAAGGTTCGTTTTCCTAACCGCTTGACAGTCTTCCACAGCCTTATTTATCTTTTCTACCACGTCGTCGCTCTCCTTCATTCCATTCAGCCATGGCTTCAACGACCTCAACAAAAGTCGTTCACGATTTCCACCCCATCTTCCGCATCTACGACGACGGCCGCGTCGAGAGAGTCTATACCTACGTCTCAGTCCCCGCCTCCGACAACCCAGAAACCGGCGTCCGATCCAGAGACGCCGTGGTCGTGCCGGAGGACAACGTATGGGTCCGCCTTTACCTTCCCAGAACCGACGACGACGGCCAGAGATTCCCCGTCGTCGTATACTTCCACGGCGGCGCCTTCACAGTCGAGTCCGCATCCTCCACCACCTACGACAATTACCTCCACTCCCTGACGGCGAAAGC